AAAATTAATGACATGATAAAATTAAACAAACTGAAGCAATAAATAAATAAATATTTAAATCTTAAACTGTTATATTGCTCAGTGCTGAGTAAGCTTAGGTTGATAGGTTAGTTATGTCCATAGGTAAGCAATAAAATCTGGAAAATATTAATTAAATAATATTCTGTGATATTATATTATGCTTAAGATGTAAAACATATAATATAGTATATACCAAGCTTATTATCTTGAATAAATAGATCATAATTACACATTATATTGAAAAAAAGTTAAAATAATAATTATAAGTGTATTTTCAAATGATTTTTTTTCGAAATGCTCTTTTTTCAGCTATATCCTAAAAATGTATTAATTGATGGTTGTGTATTAACTAAATTTAATGCAAGCATTATTATAGTATTATAATTATCTAGATTTGTTTAATTATCGTCCTCATTTATTAAATGATGCAAAGAATATTTTTATATCACGGTGGGATTATAATACCTTAAATATTCTTCTTACTTAATGTATACAGTAACTACGATAAATAATTATTATGCATATACTTAGCGTAGATCATGATTACTAAATAATCTCCACGGTAATGCAATTTTAATACAAATTTAAATTGTTTTAAATGCTAATAGTTGTCGGAGTGTAAATATATATATATACATAACTTACAACAAGTTAATTATTTAAAATTTAATTTAATTTAAAAAAAACTTAAATATACAAAAATGTGATAAAAAAAAAGGACATTTTAATTTTGAAGTACTTATACGTATTTTTAGAGGAATTTTATAATAATAATTTTATTTTCTAGAAATACTATTTAGTCTAAATAATATGAAACGAGTCATAAAAAATCGGTAACACGAAAATTATACAAGAATAATGGTTAATTATATATAGAGATCATTAAACGTAATATCATGCTTTTGTACCTATTCCTCTACTCATAATTTTTCTTCAAGGTACAAAATACTTATATTTTCAAGAAACCCAAACAGCTATTCGGCCGATTTTCATTTCATCATTATTGTCTTTTTGATCGTATTATTATAGTTTGTGTTTTGTGTCAATTTATTGCGTTATAAAATTAAATCGAATTATAATATTTCATATAATTTGCTGGTTTAAAGTGAAGAAGTTTCAGGATAATTTTTTATTGACGGTGAAATAAAATTTGCAGTTTGTCATTTTTATATACGATTTTGGTACACACACTTGCATAGAATACTTATATTTATTCATATTATGTTTTGAAAACGATTATATTAAATGTGGTAACAAAAATATTATTATTATGTTTACGCAACAATGATTGACGATGTAGGTTATTTCAATATATATAATACTAGCTTCAGAATTGTAATGCACGCTTGTATTTTAAACCTTTAATATAATATAATAATTTATGTGATTTTTTTATTTTAGCTTAATTATGAAGTGTTTTAGTTTTGTGTTAAAAACAGTTTTGGTAGTGAAAAAAAATTAAAATTAAATTTTTAACATAAGGGTTGTTTTTGGTAGTAAACTTAATTTATGTAGTTCAGAATGGTATTTAGAAACAATTAGTATGACCAGCTATAAGTTATATCCTATAAATAATTATATATTTTAATAAATAGGTATGTTTGATTTTTTACTGTGAAATATTACATTAAATGTTGTCTCGCAACTATCAATTTATCATAGACTACTATTTCATATCCGATTCAACGATACTACAAAAAAAGAGTTAATGCTGATAATTTTTATTTTTATTTTTCACACTTTTTGCACTTAGTAGGAACAACGTATTCGAATTAATCAACATTCAATGAACTGACGTAGTGTTTTACATTCAATTTGTATGCTCTGGGTAATACCATGGAAATACCATGAGCTCTCAGTGTGCATCATACGCTCCGTCGATTTTCTATGTAAAAGTACTAGTGGAGTTTCAGCGCACACTATTACTGTTAAATCTAAAACGGTATAAACAAAATACATAAATATGGCCACTGGGCTCCATAAATATGCTCTTGATGTAGCTGGCACATTGTTGGCAAGTAGAAATAGTCGCAGTTTTTTTTTTTTTTTTAAATAATTGGAAAAAAAACTAACAAAAAACAGCAAAAAACTGGAATATATTTCACGCATCATTTTTTGACTATATATTACTCGCAACTTATATTCAGTATTATGACGTATATTATCATTTTCTATACAAAATTAAATTTTAAGGTAACTATATAATGAATACATTTACATAATTTTGTGGTGTGCGTTGGTACTTAGAATTTACTTGCAAGATAATAACAATAATTAATAATATTATATTATAATTTTATTATGTATACAAATATTAGTTAAAATCACTTTCCATGAATTATTACACTTAGAATAATATAATATAATTAACTGCTCTTATAAAAAGATGCTGATCCATATATTTCGATTGATCTAATTAGCTTTTTTTTATTCACTGATTTATTTATGTATTAAAATTAAGCTCATAAAAAATAATTAACGAATAGAAGTTATGAAATTTAACGGTTATAGTTAAATAATTAAACTATACATGTGTTTAGTTTAAAATAATATATAATTTCAAGTAGTTATTAGGATGTAATTACCTATTTAAGTGTTATAAGAAATTTTGGTTGTATAAATAATTTTATAGTTTATCTATAATATAATGATTAGTTAATATACATTTGATAATAATTGTTATTTATAAGAAAAATATCTTCAATAATTTATTCGTAACGATTAATGACATATTTATAATTTGTGTTGTTGCTTAAATAGGTATGCTTAATTTGGTTTAGAAGTAGAAATAATAAATCAACTATTATAATTATTATAATAAAAGTTATATGTGACACTCCTTTGAGTTTTAAGGATATCTGTTTGGCTACAAGAAAATAATATAAAGAACTACTATATTTTTTACTGGAATATAGTAGTGAATTATAGTCAATAAAATATATTGTTAAATTTAATTTTCATAAAATATTTCTAATTTTTTATGATAGTCAATTTATCATATAATTTAAGAATATAAATAAAACCCAATCAATTGCAAAACTATTTTAATAAGCGATCTGCAACTCTGTGCTGTCTCTATATTTTACCTGAAAACTAATATTCAAAAGTCAAGGTGGTGGATATTAAATAATAAGCTTTATCAATTTTACACTTAATTTTAAAGTAATAAATATTAAATATACACCAATATCTTAACGAAATAATTATTATTCGTACAGTCACATAATCGTCAGTCGTCACATGTATTAAAATTTGTGCATAATAATTAAATCACACACGTTTTTTCTTCAAAAAAAAAAAAAAAAATTTAAAGTTTAAGTATAAATTAATTTATCATTTGGATAGTTTGCCACAAAATATAAAATCTATATCGGAGAATATTTTTTCACCCTGCAGTGTACTGAAGTCGCATTTATAATTGTTTAGTATAGAAATTTAATATGGCACGATTTCATGGGATGCTGTGATCCACAACACGTTTGTGATCATGTAGATAAAATATATATAACATTATGAATTTATGACATTTTATTAATATGCTGTAAACGATTTTATCAATAAACAAAATGCTACATTTTGATAATACACATTTGTTAAAATTTACTAAACTATATCCTGGTAATATAACTAAATTATTTGTTTTGAGATAAATAAACTAGTTCAGAAAATTAAATTTATGTATAAAATAATCGTCGAAAACGTATATAACGTAAATAAGTTTGTATTGTAATATAATATATACATTAAAACTAAGCAAGTTTATATATTACACATTTACTATTAGTTGTAACTAAATATATTAGAAAAAATTAGTTGCTATTGTTTTATTTTTATTTTTCGTATTCTACCTAGTTATATATTATGAATTTTTTTATATCTATTTTATTTTGTTTTTTAACCTCTCAAATTTAATTAAGATATAATATAATCTGTTGTTACAAATCGGAATTTTGTACGCTTTATTCAAACAAATCAATTGTTAATATATTCGTAACAAACATTTTAAATGTAATAGACAAAACACAGACATTCCTTTTATGTGTTATTATAAAATGTAGTTCAAAGGCGCCCACACTGTAAAATTTATGCAAGTCAAACAAGACTGTAAAAATACTAGAAGTACGCCATATTGTATTTTTCCGCTTGATTTGGAATATCAAACATTTAAAATGCAATATGGCGATAGAAGAAAATATATTTTGAGATATAAACTCCAAAATAATTGAAACCTACTTTTCTTCGCTTATTTTAATATAGTTCATCGTTGAATAGTCAGATTTATGAAAAATAATTTGGTCAAATATATTGAAGCTAATATAAAATTATTTTATTGATTTATAACGAATATTGAAAAATTACTTTCAATATTAATAATGATTTAAGTATGATTGTAATTCATATAAACCTTAACGTAATTTATTTATTTAATTTTTATAGCTTATAGATATTATTCAAAATAAAAATTAATGTTTATAAAATATACATCCATTATTTACCAAATTGAAAATAAATAATACCAATTTAAGGGTGTATTTTTGTATTTATGAATCTTAGGAAAAAACTTAAAAAAACACACCTTTAAAATATAGCTGCTGGGGAAACTATCGACTTTATGTCCCCTTTATACAATATATACTGTGTGAAATACAAACGTTATACAGTCCTTGAGTTCGTAATTCATAATATAGCGGTTAATATATTTTATTATATTCATATCAACGATGATCCGTTTGTTATGAAAACATTCGCAGTAGGTGCAGTTGACGAATAATACAGCCTCACTACACGATATGAATAGATATTTCTAAACCGGTTGCCATAAGCTTAAAGAACAACAATATAAAATATATAATATATTGCAGTACAAATGATATTTGATTATAATATGACCTCTAGTAATATATTATAATATTCGTATAATGCTTGTCTTAATTCCGTCTATAATGTTTTTAGTTACGACGGCGATCGATGTATTAAATATCTTTCATCACTCTACTAAGTTAGCTTCACGTTGGGTGAAGATATATGTAAATGAGACAATACATATCTATCGGGTTAAGAGGTATGTTAAACTACACAGTAGTACACGTCATATAGATCCGTAGTCCTTAAAAAATATCAATATAACCGTTGGACCTAATACACAAATTCAATTTTTTGAATCTGAGTTTCTTAAATTTGCTCGAGTGAAAAACGGTAAACAATGGTCTATGTTTACACGATAAATAGTTAATAAAATGCTTAAATTTTCAATTTTAAGAATGGTTTTTGAAAAAAAAAAAAAAACAAAAAATAAAGAAAAACGGGAATTTTTACTCTATATCAGGTTTTTATTGATAATTAAATTATATTTATAATTTAAAAACAAATCACTAAAGTATAAATGTTTGAAGGTTTAATACAATATTCTTTATACGTTTTGCAATGAGTATTTAATTTAAAATTAAAATTTGAAAATATAGTTACAAAACAACGATATTTTATAGACATTTTATTTTTACATTTTGAAAAAATACTTTTTTTTTAACAACGTATAACGATATTATTATTGTGCTATAAATCAAAAACATTATTCATGGAGACTTAAAACTTTTACATGTATTATTTGATTATAAATTTTACTATATGCAATGACATTTTATATTTATTTTAAAATACTATTTATTTATATTTTAATCTATATTTTCTGTTTTATGGAATTTACGGAAAAATGTTACTAAGTTTTGAGTTGATATATGTGGATATATAATATGGTATAGATATATATTTTTATAACAACTTACCACTAATAAATACAATATTTTCGGAATAAAAACTTACATAATATTAAAAATAAAATAAATTACTTTAATAGTTATAATCATGAAAAATACTTTGAGATATATGCTGACATTCTAACAGACCGTCTCTGTTTAGAATCGTTTTTCGTACATAACAGTCGATAATACATCATTGAATTTAAATTTAACACATCTATAACAGTGACCCATTCGACACCTGATATACAGCAAAGGTATATATATTTTCCTATATTTTTTATGATCGTTTTTATTAGTTTTTAGCATTTAACTTCTAATTATATAGTGGTTACAGCCTACTACCACGAATATATATTTTTATGCATAATTTTTTTTATTTATACTCAGACAAAATTTTAGTATTCTATTTTAAATTTTAATATTGTACGATATTAAAATATTGTTAACTAGTAAGAGGGAGTTAAGATTTATGTGTGCAGTGTACTCCAATGTTTTATATCGACAAAATATTTGATAATAACAGCCAACAGACCTGTAGTTTTTTTTTTCATTAGTGGGAGGTCATGAGTAGGAAGTACTAATCTACTAACTTTATAGGTCCTTAGAGGAATCAAAAGAAATTTCGAAGAAAAATCTTAAAGGCATACTCTTTTCTAAGTTTTTTTGAATTGTTTACAAGACAGTTGGGTCATGGCGTTTTCTAAGAAGTTACCTAATTATTGTACGAAATGATGGAGCCTATTCGATCGAAAATTCGTACCATATACTCAGGAGACATGTCTTAGAAATTTATTTTTAAAATTTTTTGATTCAACCACTCGAGTACCGTTTTGGTTTACAAGATTCGGTTAATTGTGATACACATTTCATAATGCTGTGTGTCGATGTTTTTATTTATTTTTTTGATTATAATAAATAATAATATCATAAAATAAAAATAAAACAAAAGAGTCTTAAATAATAATTAACGACTTACTTAGTTGATAATTGATTTTCTATGAAAAATGATAAATGGACATGTCTCTTTGTGTATGCTTACCATTAGTTCACAACCGTTTGAACGCCAAAATCAGAAATAATTTGAGTTATATAAAATTGATAATTATCGTTTTATTGTATGTATATGAATAAAATCTAAGAAATATTTCATAAAATAGTATAACTAAAAATAAAATAAAAATACATAAATCCATTTTTGGTAAAAATATGTTCCTTGCACTAATTGGATTAATTAATAACATATATTTTATTTTGTTAATTTATATATACGTACATACACGAGTTGAATCTAATTTTAAAACTTGTAAAAATACATAATTTTATAATATTTATACGACAATACGATTCTACATAAAACTCAACTTCTATACTTAAACTTTAAAATAATTTGTGTGATTACATTTATGTGTTGTTGTCAGCTATCTTGTTTTTGATTAATGTTTATATTTTGAAATAGCAACAATATACTGAATATCCACTTATATTTTGTAACCTATAAATTGGTATTATATTTATGTGGCGTTGTCAGCTATCTTGTTTTTGACTATTGTCTATTTATTTTAACTTTTTTTTTTTTTATTATTGCTTTACGAGTCATTCAGGCTCTTAGCAGATTCAACCAAACTTTTCCATCTTTCTCAATCTTATGAGTACTCTAGCATCTTAACTTCGTCAATCACTCTAATGTATTTCATTACCCTATCCAGCCACCGATGCCGAGGTCTTCCATGCCGAGGTTGTTTTCCAGATAAAGTTCTTATTGTCACATTTTTATGATTTTTCTGTCTACTCGCCATACATTCTGACTTACCCAAGTCTTTTGGTATATAACATATTTTTTATACTTGGCTTATTGTATAATTTTTTTGATTCTGAATTTTTTCCTTTCATATTATCCCATAATTGGATTCCTTGTTGGTCCGTAAATCTTTCTTAATACCTTTCTTTCAAAATGCAATAATGGATTTTCGTCTTTCTTAGTTATTGACCGTGTTTCACAAGCATACATGACAATTTGTCTTTTATAGTAAGTGCATAGATTTTCTTTCCTTTTTTCATGACAGTATTTTAGATCTAAGCATTTTATTCGTTGCTAAATATTCACAGGGTTGACTGCATTAATTCTTTGCTATACTTCGTTGAGCATATTATTTTCTATGGGTTGGGATTAATTTTTCTATAGTTTGTATTAAATCCAATTGAATGATGCTTAATATGATAATGTCATCTGCATACGCGAAAATGATCAGATTTCTATTAAGTTTTATACAATGTATGTCTGCTAAATCTCTTATTATCTTCTCAAGTGATAAGTTAAATGAAAGTATTGATAACATATCCTTTTGTTTTAGTCCAACTTCAATCTCGAATTCTGGCGAAAATTATCATTAAAACCAAATCACACAAAAGATGTTTGAGTTACATATTTTGATTAATCTTACCAGTTTCTTAGGAATGTCAAAATTGTTCAAAGCAGTCCTCGGTTGATTTCTATTAATACTTAATACTATCATAAGCTTGCTTAAAGTCAACAAATAACAAGTAAAGATCTTTGTTATATTCGTAATGTTTTTTTCATTATCTGTTATAAAGGGGAAAAATGGCCAGTCGTTGATTTCTCTCTCATAAAAATGCATTTATTTAAAAATATTTTGATTTAAATGTATTTTAAAATGACATGAAAAAATATATAATCAGTTATATTCCATATTGATTGTTAAAAATATGAAACGATCAAAAAACCTTAACAAAATACTTAACATTAATTTTATTTTTGACATAAATAATATTAAAACTATAAAAACCAAAATTACAAAATATTTATTTATTTTTTTATTAAAGAATTTAGAAACCTTTTATGTGTTTTAAAATTTTTGAGTTGAAAAAAATGGTTTTAAACTTATGTTTTTGGGTTACACGTGATTTGAGCGTGCAACTCCTTGGACTATAAAAATTGATTACGTCGACTGATGTCTAGGTACCTCGTATATATAATAAACACCGCAGTAGAATCACATGATTGGCGCCTAATAATATATTACTACACCACCACAGAATTTTGGACGTGTAATTTTCAGAAACTGTTCTCCGCCGACCAATACTGCCTGAACCCCGACAAGAATAATTAACAACAGTGGCTTTATAATTTATGATTGTTAGGGGAGAGAGGTAGAGGTGTAACAACTGAAATGTTGAAATCACCTATAACTTATCCCCGTATACAAACGGGACACATACACATGTTGTGAATGGTGAGCAGAGGTGGTCATGCGCTTTGTTAGGCTTACAAAAGGGATGTCACGTAAGTCACGCGTGTATCAGCGCGTACAGAATGCCAAAATATCTCAAATGGTAAACAATCATCATAAAGATAATAATAAATTGGTAAAATAGATAAGTGTTCCTACTATTAAAAGTCTACATTATTATATTACGTTACTTTTTCTGTGGGTACTCTTTTGGTTTTAAAAAAATATTTTTGTAATTTCCATGATCATAGTAATGATATCAATAAAGATTGATTTATTAGTGATATACTTTGAAGATAAAATTTTACGAATAAATATGAATTATAATTTAAACGTAATAATATTACAAAAGTAAAAAAAATCACATTTTTAACAGATGTAAAAAAAATACAATTACATTTATATTGTATATAGTTATATATATATATATATTGGGTAGGTAAACCAGTGACATGATTTTGATTAAACTTTGTAGTTATGCTCAAAAATAAAAATAAATTTTTAATAAAAAGTTGCACTTTATACTATTATTTCTTACAAATTACTAATCAAACACAGTTCAAAAAATTTAATTTAAATTGGAAAACTTTTAATAAATTTACTTTAATGCTAATTAAAGGTCACTTGTATATATTTGTTTATAATATCTAATGATGGCTTCAATAATTTCATGCACTTGAATTTCATTTTTCGTTATAACAAAAAACTAACCTAAACTCGACCTTGAATTGCGGAGGATTAAATGTTTGTTCGTTTAAATGTTTTAAACCTAAACCACTAACCACAATCTGTTAAAACAACCACGAAAAATAATAAAGCAACGAAATAATTAAAACAAAAATCCGTTTCAAAAATATAATTACATTAACTCCGACGTTTTATTATAATATCATGTAATATAATATATTATGTTATAAGCTTGTATGATGTTTGCTTCAACTGAATCTTAAAAACAAAAATAAATTGATTATTGTTTATAATTTTATAAAAATAGTTCACTATTATCATAAGTACTTTCATAGAAAAATAATATATATTTAAGTATACACCATAAT